ATTGCCACCCTTCAAACCTGTTTTCCTGGTAACAACCAAAAAAGCCTATATGTAGGTTTCAACAAAACCACACTCATATGTGTCCTCAATTTTGATTTCTTTCAGGTTAGTACAGGATTGGGACTAAATATTCAACCAGCGGTTTCTAAGGTTCCTTCCTTGAGTTGTACATATATTGGCAGGTTATTTGCAGCCCTTAATCATGTGTCCCAAGATACCACATTTTTGCCATAAGTTATTATTTTATCACCAAAGATATTCATCGATTGATAGGTTGAGTGATGGTCTTCTCCTACTTGCATTCAGGTCCATTGGATTCCCTGCTTGGGTGGTGGTTCAGAAGGTTGCTTTCTGATTCCTGGGTGAACCTTGGTTCACTGTACTCTTGATTAACTAGTAGTTCTGAATCCAGTCTAATTGTACAAATTAAATTTCCTTTCGAATGGCCCACTAGACTATGTCATCAGTTGTAGCAAATCTCTCTTCACTATATCTCCCTGTATCCTGAAATGCCTTTTTCAGACCTTCTATAAACCACCTCATAGCTGCTGTTTCGTCTCATTCCACCTGGTACTGAAGTAGTCTGAACTCGTACCAGTAGTCAGTAATGTTTCTTCCCCCTTGGTAAATCCTTCCTTATTTGTTTCATGCTGATTGGCTGTGTTCTATCTCTGTAAATTAAGCCTTAAATATGGGAGTAAAACTGTTCCAATTGGTCCAGGGTACTGGTGTCTGACTTACTACTATGAGTGACACCCATTGTAAGGCTGCTCCTTCAAGGATGATCAAGGTATATCATATTTTATTATTGTTGTTTTATTTTGTCTATCGTATAGTATCAAAGTAGATAAGGAGCTAGACCATGCATCCTCATAGTTTCCTGCTTTCTCTGTTGTATCTGGGAGGTGTTCTAACATTCAGTTTTTGACCCCCTCCTCGGTTGGCTTCTGATATTATTTGTTCTACGTATTCGTGGGAGATCCTTGCTGGAGGTGGTGGTCCAGCTGGTGGTGCTGTACCTGATATTCTTTCAGGTCTTGCCATATCTGATACTACTTCTGCACTTAGGGGTGTGACTGGGTCTTGTGTAACCGGACTGACTGTTCTGGCTAAGTGATGACTTGCTTCACTTGATTCTTCATAGAGTCCTCCTAGTTCTAGACTGTCATCTTCTAGGTTCAAGTCTCCTTCACTGTCTCTGTTGAACAGATCTATTGTAAAATCATGAAGTGTCTCATTGTAGACATGTTCTAATGTTAAGAATCCTACCGGGGGCTGGGGTATACCAGGTAATGGTGCTAACATTAGGGTAAGCTAATTGTTCTTCAGCCATTGCCTACAGGATGTAGATAGCTAAGTCCATTGACATGTATCTTATCGTACCTATTAACTTAATCTTCTTAAGTTCTTATTTAGGACTTAATTGTTCATATATGAAAGGAAAGACAATCCTTAAGTTTCACGAGATAAATTGTAAAGAGTATAAAGGTAGGTTTATATTAGTAAAATATATGTAACGGGGGCTCCCTCAGGTAGATGGTTCCTAAGGATGTAACTGCACCAAACTTCAGAATTCTCGAACAGAGCTCTTGCAATATGTAAAGAACAAAAGTAAAATGGTAAAACTTAATATCATTAGGCTCAGGCTTATCTCAATTAAAGTCTCTCAAGAGGATATTAATAGTGTCGGGGTAGCATAGTTCTTATATAATCTTTAAGTAGTCAGACTTATACTAAAAACTTCCCCAGCAGCTAGCCCCGACCAACATGAGTACGTCCTTCCTCATAAGTGTTGCCCAGCACCATTACCGTGTCCCCGAAGGACCTCATCTGTCAACGCATTCTATTAGAAAACTCCTCTATGCATATCGGTTCATGCAAGGTGTTTGCCAATACAGCTGCCGGATTTAAAACCACTATCCATCTGTGCCTTGCCAGTAGGTAACTGTCGAGACACCTAGGAAAGCTAACTAAATAGCTCTCTTCCCATATACTATGACATATCCAAGTACCCGTAGACATTAGCTGTCCTCCGGCAAAGTTCTATCTATCTTGATTGCGAACTTAGAAGGTCTATAATGGTTGTGGGGAGAGCTGTAGTGGCAGCGGGACCCATGGGTGCTACCCATGGTCCCTTACCACCAGTACACCACTCACCATGATAAGTATCATGCTAATACAGTCCTTAAACAAGCTACAAAGAGCCTACGGCAAAGGGGTACTTGTACATATGATTGCTGTAAAACCTTCCCAGATGTCTCCGGCACTACCGGGGACCCCTCTGGGGACCCTTCCAGATAGCTCATACTAACTCCATCAGTTTTGTTCTGTTTTACTCTGTTCTTTTTGGAGAGGGTACCTGACCTTCGCACCCTGGTCCTCCTATATATCGTGCGAACAGCCTCTGGTTGAACAGACAGCAGTGATGTATGCAGTGTTATGGACATGTCTTTAAAGACTCCATTCAACTAGCAAGACAGCAACTGCCCCCATTTTGGCCCGTGATTCCTTTGGTGAACCCTGGGGCCGCAGGCACCTTTTAGGAATAATTCTGCCAAGTTACAGCATATTTGGAGTACTATAGCTCCTCCTGTAGTCTTCTAATCTATATGTAAGCAATTGCCTATCGCTCGTTATTTCGTAATACACAATTCTGACAATTCCCGGAATTCCTCTGAGAATATTTCTACTGGAAGGTAGGGTAATAGTCTCCCAAAGCTAGCGTAAGTAGGTCCATAGTAATACGAAACTGGTCTCCATGGTAGGGTAACATGACTGGCCTAGACAGGGTAAACTCACCCATTCTTCCAACCTATGCTTAGGCCAGAGTGGACAAAGTCACGATACTTTTGCTACTCAGGTATACCTAATCCTGAAGCACCTTCTGTTCTTCAGGATACCCAAACCATCAGATATCCCTCGCACATGTGCCAGCATGCCCACCTAGTCTACCATATAACCTCTTGGTCTTATGTATGGGCAAAGACTTAGGTTGCTATACCTCTGCAATATAGGGTCACTACAATATAAGAGTAGGAAAATAGACTAGAAAAACATATAAAGAGCTCATACTAGGGGCCCTAGTGACCCTTTATATAGTCATCCTTCACCTGGCGACTCATACCTTCCGTCACCTGCACCTTGTGACTCATAACTATAAGTTATGCAAAATCCATCAGCTGACTCCTATGAGTTCCTGGGCAACATACCTTAAGCCAATCAAAACTCTATACCCAAGTGTGATGCCCAACTCGCGTCACCTCAGTGAAACCCCTGACTCATACTTCGAGTCTGGTATGAAAATCATAACATTGGGTGACTTACAACTGTAGGCCACAAACAGGGAACCATCATAACCTATAGTGTACTAGTGTACATCATGTGAAATCCCAACATACCTGTAGCTCAGAATCTCAAACTATGTAAAATCTGCCTTGATTTGTCACAGTTTGTAACAGTTGTCTTGTGAGTTGTCGTAATCATAATATTATAGTATAGTAAGAGGAAGCTTGTTTAAGTTAGAAAAAGGCTAATTACTTGTAAGCTACAACTGAGTCTTAATTTATCAATATAACACCCGTAGGTCATAGGCAAACAGAACAGAACCGTGACTTTTAGGGTATCACAAGTAGAGTAAACATATTACTCTAGAATACATCCAAATTTATTATTGCGCATGATATTATATATATTTTGGATATACTCAACACTCATATTTTATTTTAACATATATGCTATTTACACTTTTTATAATCATAAAAAATATGATGGACAAACTACACAGTCCCTCAGTTATTTTTATACTATTGTATTTTATACAATACAGATTTCAATTGAAAACCCTAATATAATAACCCTCAAAACTAAGAAATAGTCTTTTTTTGATGATTCTTAACATTCCATACAGCTAAGACCTGTGACACTTAATGTTCTGCCTTGTACATGTTTTGATATATACTACTTAGCTTAAATCAAATATGTCATTAGAAATTACTGCAAAGAAGAATACAGCAGATTGAAATTCCATGGGATTTTTGTACTTGTTAACCACTCGCTGAAAAATTTAGTTTAATAGAAGAGAAAGCTGAAAATAAATGAGAAATACTCGGGATTTCTGGCGTGCCAAACAGGGTCTTAAATTTCTGGGAGCCTTGGCACGGTCAAGTTACTGGTCTCCTTGCTCCCACGCAACCTTCACTTCACATTTGACCTTGTCACGTGGGTCCCCTGGGGCACCGAGGTTATCCCAGCGGACAAACTTTACCTCCTCAACCAAACCCCTCCAGATCAGCGCAGTCTCAGAGAGCGCATCTCCATTATTCTTCATCAGACTTTTAGCCAACACTTGCCTCGCTAAACTCAAATTCTACATTTTTTTCTGTGATTCTACTGCAGTCCACCTTGAGCTAAGTATTACCACGGAGGACTGCTCCACACTTGGAAGAGCCTGGGCTAGGGTAGGGGTAAGCCTGAACGACATGTCGACGTTATCCGGGAAGTCAGCACTGCCCTCAAAGGAGGGTACCCAGCAGGAGCTACGGCAGGATACCCTGGCCGCTCAGTCTCCGTCGTTATCAGGTCTTCGGTCGCTTGTTGCTGGCGGTGTTGGAGGTGTTTTTGCAGTCATCAGCGGTTCGCACATTCATGCTGATCTCATACCGGTATCTTCCTTGCTGACTCTAGTTCAGGCCACCCGTTTGATCTAGTCAAGGTTCGTCTTCAAACCGCCGGGAAGGGAGTTTACTCCGGGGCTTTTGATGTGGTGAGGAAAACTGCTGCCCGTGAGGGCATGGTGAGGGTATGTTTTAGGGAAACCTTTTAGTCTCCGCACCTAGCGCCAATCTTCTAAGGTTGCCATTGTTGTTGGAAAGGCAGGACTCTGGCTGAGCAGCATCTGAACAGGGGTTGTATGCAGGTATATCTGCACCATTGATCGGTGTTACACCAATGTGTGAGTTTCCGTCTGCAATGTATTATTTTCGTAGCTCGCATGCTAACTCTTGTCTATAGTTGCTGTTTCTTTCTGGGCTCGTCTCAAATACCTCTCCCACTCTCGGCCCAGGCTAACAGGTGCCAAAGGGCTATGATGTCGGTAAAAACATCGTCCGCTGCTCCACAAGAGTCCATGACAACCAAATGTCTATCGCGCAGATTTCCTTTGCAGGATTTTTCTCGGCGATCCCGATGACGCTCATCACTGCGCCCTTCGAGCGAGTCAAGGTTCTACTGCAAGTCCAGGGCCAGACTGGGGAAAAGAGGTATTCCGGTGGTATTGATGTCGTCCGGCAATTATACAGGGGAGGCGGTATTCGCTCCATATTTCGTGGGTCAACAGCGACACTGGCCAGAGATGGGCCTGGATCGGCAGCCTACTTTGCTACATACGAGTACATCAAGCGACGCCTAACACCTGAGGTCGAAGGTAAGTTGAGCATGGGCGCTGTGATGGTTGCCGGGGGTGCCGCAGGTATGGCGATGTGGCTGTTAGTATTCCCCGTGGATACTGTGAAGAGCCGTCTGCAGAGTGCCGAAGGCAAGCCGACTATTGGAAGTGTTGTTCGGGGGATTCACGGAAGCGGTGGGCTCAAGGCATTCTTCCCCGGGTTGGGCCCAGCACTCGCCAGGAGTGTACCGGCGAACAGTATGTGCTTCTTGGGCGTTGAGTTGGCGCACAAGATGATGGATAAGACGTTTGGTTGAAATAATTACCATTAATGATTCCTTACTTTTTTTTTTATTAACTTTTTCTGGCTCTGTTTTCCTTCCCGGCGGTGTCACAGGTAGATCGGCGGGTGGTGTATCACTAGGGAATGTAGACACAGCGCGAGCACAATGCAAATGACACAATTCCAACTCCTCCAAAGATCCAATCCCACAACCGGATTATCGCCCTGAACAAAGCCTTCAATGACCAAACGCCTCTGAAGAGATAAGATAGAGGGAACTAGTCGCAATCTAGGAGCAGTCTCATATCGTTCTCAGGAGGGAAAATTCAGAGTGCCTATTGAATGTAGTGTGTCTACGTGCTTGTAGAGTTCCAAACAAATTATAGCTGCCCCACCCAAAGCTCTTGGAAAATCGTGACACATGGCGGAAGATGGTTACGGTGCAAAGGGTCTAAAGGGGGGTCATCTGATGAAACAATGGTGCCACAGTGATCCATTATCCCTTAACCTGTATTAAAACACTGTGGCTAAAGGCTAAGCTGATAGCGTGGATCATAAGTGTAATGGAACTAGGCAAAATGGCAAGCGATCTGGATAATCATGATGTAACACACCATGTGGAGGCTTAGTAAACCAATGTGGGCAAGAAAGCACAACCGCACAACGGCCAGGATACTTAAGTGGGGGTTTGGGTAGAGACTTTATACTTCAGACTTGGCAATTTCGCATCTAGAGTTAAATCCTAGTTAGCTCACTGGCCCAAAGCATTGTTTGACCCACATCCAGAGTCCTTATATACTGATTGTACTTTTATATCATAAGTTTACTCCTTACAATCCAGTTTGTTTAGTCATATTTATCTCACATGAAAAGTCAGTACACAATATCTCTAGTATTAAGAAATCTTGACTTGGAGTCCTACAGCTATGAACAATTTGGATAGTATTTATGACAGTGATAAAGGCGAAGGGGGATTTGATGGATTTGGAGGTGGACGACTAGGAGGACTTAGAGAAGCAATTGAAGTCAAAATTATCAACAACAGAAAAATGCCAGTGAGAATGCCATCGAGGATACTACAGAGGATGCCGCTGATGATGCTGCTGAGGGTGGTGCCAAGAATGCCGGTGAGGATGCCAGTGAGAATTGTGCTGAGAACGCTGCCAGGGATGCTGCTAGGTGTTAAGAATCCTACCGAGTAGGACCAAGCGACAGGTAACGATACTTGTCTTGATGTAAGGTGATAGTTCTCAGGCCTATGCCTACGCGATCCCGACAGTCCAGTCCTATGACTACTATCTCGTTCGCGCCTATCTCCTTATTCTTCTCCTTAGTCCTCGCTTAGGACTTACTCTCTCCTCATGGGAGGAAAGACAATTCTTGGGTGTCTTAAGATAAATCTTAAAGAGCGTAAAGGTAGGTTTTATTGATAATAACTTAAAGGTAGGAAACAAACAAGAAGAATGTGTGAAGAGCTGATACTCGGGGTCCTAGTGATCCTTTATATAGTCGCTCTTCACCCGGCGTGACTCACACCTCGCGTCACGCGAACTCTATAACTCATAACCATGAGTCATATGAAATCCATCAGACGACTCCTATGAGTCGCTGCGCAACATGCCTAAAAACCAATGAAAAAATAATAACCCAGTCAGGTGCACAACTCTTGTCACCTGAGTGAAAGCAATGACTCATAAGTTGAGTCATGTGCGAAAATCATAACATTGTGTGACTCACAATTGTGAGTCACGAACAGGTAAACATAATAACCTATGGTGCACTAGTGTGCGTCATGTGAAATCCCAACATACCTATAACTCGGAACTCTGAGCTATGTGAAATCTACCTTGCTTAGTCACAGTTTGTGACACTAGGCCTGGGAATGCCACTGGAGAGATGCTGCTGAGGATGCGGTTATGAATACTATTGAGAATACTGTTGAGAATGCCATCGAGGATGAAGTACCTCTAGAGAGTGAGGTACTACTACAGGATGCAAGTGAGGAAGATCGTAGTGATGGCAGAGACATTGGCAGCCTGGTTAGTTAGCAAGTGCTGGCTCTTATATGACCTCTACCTCTGGTTCAACCTTTTGAGCCCTATAAGTATCCAAGACTGTCTTACAAGCAGATTCTCAATCTTTCTGATAAGTTCTATATTGCTAACTATGATAATACTATTCAAGATCCACACTTGAACAATGGTATCAGTCAATCTGTGTTGAACTTTATTCTGCTCTTCTTTGATAAAGAGCAATTTGAAACCCTTGCATGTAATACAAATGATTACACAACAGTAAAGAAGGCCCGTAGAGAAGGTGCATGGAAATGGTATGCCACACAAGTAGGAGAAATAATAGTCTTTATTGGATTAATTATCTATATAAGCATGTACTAGTATCCTCCATGTACTATATCAGATTAGTGGCAGAAAGATGGCCTTGCTCTACTCCACAGGTATAGAAATGTAATATAGAATAACAGTAGTAGAACTAATAGAACAATAGAATATCTCAGTATATAGACTAAGTACACATTAAGTAACTGAAACAGTACTTTCATATCTTACCACCAATTGAAAACTTATCTCCGTACCTATGCAAGAAGAGGTTGGAACCTCTTGCAAGTAGGCTACACCACAGTTTTAGTAGTACCGTATTCTAGCTACTGAAGTCTCACTTGATAAGATTATGATATAGTTTGTGGACTACTCTGTTCATACAGTTAGGCTCTCCAATAAGCTGATACTAGGAGGATATTAGGTTTTTGCTTTGTGTCAGCATGGGTATACACTTACCTTCATGAATACCTCCGGAGTTGCATAATTCTTAGGACAGGACTTAGACTTACTATATATTGGACCCGGTATCCTACTACTAAGCCCAACCTCACATGCAGTACTCTGACTTGCTACTGCTTTGCCCTATCGGCAGTACTGGTTTGTCCTTTATTATGACAACTATTTCAGTAAGATTCCTCTATTTCACACCTTGAGGTACCTCCAAATTACTGCTTGTGGTACTCCATGTCTAAATTGAGCCAAGTATCCTCAAGTTTTGAAGATTAAATAAAACCCCTACTTTTACCATGGATTACAATTTTGAGAGTCATACCAGATGGCTGGCAGGAATTAGCTGTGATCTGCCAAGATAAGACATTAGTCAAACTTTTTACTACTGCTTATAAGATGTATGCAGATTCAGAAAATGATATAATTTGTAGTTGTTAGTGTTCTCTACACTCCTATAATCATGATGCATATCATAACTTGATTGATGAGGTATAGTACACTCATCACTCCAAATAATTCCTTCAAAATCCTCTACTGTCCAGTCTTTATGAACTGTAGCCCACTTGAATCTCTTTGCCACATGCTCAGGCTTAAGCATTGGTCTTGATTTGGCTAGCCACTTCTTGATATTGACTTCTCTGAGTACTCTATCAACTATTTCACCAGCACTTATTAGTCAATCATATCCTATCACTCATAGTAGTACAAGGGCTGAGATATTACCTGTAGAAAGGGAAATACCTGGCATGTATTAATTCCTGAAATAGGATCTGGTCATTTTCCGGTTAGACTTGGCTGCCCAGACAATTGTGTGACGCTGTGGATAGCTAAGAACTAGAGTACGACAGGGGTGGGGAATGTTTTCTAGTAATTGGCACTCACATGCTCAGGTAAGAAAGCTTTTAACTGTAGTCCAGGGGCGCCCAATAGTTTGAGCAACAAGGGCAATATTCCAGAGGCAGTAGAAAAAGGCAATAATCATGCCTTTTTCAATGTTGGTCATCTCTCTTCGCTTGGTTTTGGGAGTTCTTTTTTTTTTGGAGCTGGAGGGTTTGCATATCCAGATCTGTAAACCATGGTTAAAGGGAAAAATAAATTGAGGAGCGGGTTGTATGAATTGTGTTGTTGTTCATGGTCGCGATCACGGTCCGGAGAGTCTGGCTTTTTTTAACGAGGTAGCTGACAAAGCATCACGAACACTTCTGACAACTGGCTGTACTAAACAATAAATAGTAGCCATTCGGACTCTTGCCCTGGTTGGGCCTTATATTTCACCCGTATAATTCATAGCGGATCAAGGAACTTGATCTAGTACAAGTAACTGCTAATAGTACCTTTGTATATGCTGAAGATTGTGAGGAGGGCTGTTTGTATACATGTACGGTACGTGGGTAAATATTTTCGTATATTTCAATTGCCAAGCAGGCCTCTTTTGAAATAGTTTGACAAATTGCTGAACAGGACAGGACGCTGGCCACGCTTTAGCTTTTCCCGAAAAAAAAAAAACATCTCGGTTCAGCTATTCAGGAATGGAAGGCGAACGGTCATCGTATGGAGGAACTGAACGTAACAGTCGTATCCAAAGCGACCCTAGCCTATCTCAAGGCATGCACAGTAACACTTAACCCCATAAACTACAGCAAACGTCACAGAAAATAAAACCCTGAGTGAAACAACTACCCCACCCTCACTTCCCCTCTAAAAACGCCGCGAACTCCCGATCCCTGTTATCCAAACTTTTCTGGTCAAGCTTAACATTCCTCAATCCCCACCAACCCACGCAGCTCGTCAACAATGCAATCCCACCGCAAACAAAGAATGGGCCCGATATGCCCCACTTGGATTCCTCGCCGCCGAAGGAATCGATAAGGTGAATGAAGGAATGAGTGCCAATGAACCCCCCGACCTTTCCCCATGCCGCTGCGACGCCATAGAACTTTCCGCGGACGGGAGTTGCCGCAGATTGTGAGACTATGAGTCCGATGTTATTCCCCGCTCCTGCTTCGCCGAACATGGCGAAGAAACTAATATGTTAGTACTGTATATAGAGGTTACCTAATAGATGCAAGGAGACGGTGGGTGGTACCCGAAAATGATTATAAACGCCGGAGCCGGAATCTCAACCTTCGCCCACAACGCGGCGAGCAGCGCCGCCATCAGTGTCTGGCAAAAACATCCTAAGACCAACATTACTCTGGGGCCCAGCCTGTCACTGAGATACGCCCCGCCCACCGCACCCGGAAAATGGAACATCATGATGCAAGCGGTATAGCCAAAGACCTGCACCAGGCTCTGTCCCGGCGTGCCAATCATTTCAATCAACCGCGGCGCGAATATAGTGTACGAGAACGAGGTGACGTTCCAGAGAAACCATATAAAGCTCTCCACCGCCAGGCTCTGCCAGTAGTAACTTATGACTGTCTTGTACGATATCTCCACCCTGTCCTTCCGAGCCTGTTCGTATTGCTCTCCTTCATCGACGAAGCGACGGAACGTGAATACTATGATAGCAAAGGTGGTGCCAATGCCGAAGAGGATGTGGAAGGCGTTAGAGCATTGGTCTGGTGTATGCTCACCGGTCAGCGCCACAACTGCGGTTGGAATCATGTTTGCTGCAAAGAAGCCCTATTGCAGTGATTAACATGATAGGCGCCCCTCCACTTAGTTGTTAGGGTTATGACGTACCCCTAGAATCATAATATTTGTGCAGAAAATGAACCAGCGGTTTCTTGTCCCTTCCGGGCGGAGTGCTGCCGCTTCGGCACAGGCTACGCTGCCCGATGGATACTCTCCACCAATTCCCACACCGGTGAAAAAGCGGCATGTGGCCAGGAGATCGATTATCCGGGGGATGGGTCCGGGAAATGGGATGGCAGTCAACAGGGAAGAAACAATGATTATGATTCCCGATGCCTTCATGCCATTGCGCCGACCGAATCTATCCACATACCAGCCAAAACCGAGCTGTCCGATGACAATACCGGCGAACGTAATCTAGGCATTGTCAGTGATCGCCGCTTCATAGGAGCAAGCGGGGTACCGAAGTTAAGAGTCGTTGCCTCTCCGGCGTGTATTCCTTCGGCCACGCCCTCCGCATAAGGATATTGACAACACCAATAATCTAAGATGTCAGCTCATTTGTCCGGATCCAGAACATCCGAGTGGCAGAACCCACCCCGCTCAAGTACCCATCGGCGAATAACCCGAACCCCGAAACAAATATCCTCCCATTCAAATTCTGGATCTTCCTTCGCCTCCGCCACCAAGACGACACTCTTTGAGTGAGGTTAAACGTGGCAGTATTATCTTCGGAAATCACCAACTCAACCTCTCGTCCCGCCATACTATCCACCTCTTTGGTTATCGGCTTGCCATCCATTGCCACCTCTTTTCGAATATGTATTTTTGGCCTAGATGTTTGCCCACGAAGCACTGGGACCACATGGGGGTGCGAGCGAATTTATACTCTGCATTCAATGATCGTGTGAGCACGTAATAATTACCATAAGGGCACGCATCCAAAATCGACAACCCGACAACGCGATCATTTCCAATGATTGAAGGAAATTTCAGGCGGCGGAGGCTGTGAAACTATGTAATGAGGTTCAATAAAGATAATATGCCCACTATTACACCTTGGACAGCCAAAAGGAGTCCGCCAAATAAAAACGCAGAAAAGAACACCCTTTCCGGACCATAAAATATCCACACAGACACCAAAGCTGCTTATAACGAGTGGGCTGGCGGATGCGAGAAATACCTACAGCGGGAGCCATCCCTCGACGAATTCAACGGTCAGGAATTCATCGGGCTTGACCTTCACCAGCCAGTCTGTCCAGGAGAACCTGTGATCTGAGCCGACGGTAGCATGCTAGGAGCCCCTTCTGGGAGAATGTAAGCGAGGAGTTGTCACGTGGCGACTCTGAAACCTATTGAAACTAGTAGATATCATATTAATGAATATACGCCAAAGAACCAAGAGATCAAGGAGGACTCACCTCGAGAAGCCTACGAGATCCAGTGCCCCGCAACGAAAAATACATCCTAAAGAACCCACTATGCTTATTCTCTCCCTGCCACAGCAGCTTGAATAGCTCTGCACCCATAAATGATGGATTACCAATTGGGATTTCAACCCGGATGGTCTGGGACCGGACCGGCGAATACCCAGTTGCCAACAATAATCCAATCAGATTAGTAGGGGCAGGAAGCAAAAGCTGTTGAATAGGAGCATCATCCAGACCGCCGTTTGCAAAAACTGCCCGCGAGGCGTTAAGCGGGTGAGACGCTGTGGGTATATGGTTACCTATGCTAGTAGGGATCAGATCGGGGAGCGAAAGCCCAGGGGCGGCACTCGCTTCAGCCGGGCGCCGAGGCACAGGCGCCGAGGCACAGGCGCCGGCGGAGGCAGTAGCCCCTCAGTAAATCCCCGCCAACAGCAAGTGGTACACGACTCCCCGCGACCGGTGAGGGCTTGTGAGCAGCGATATGTAGCCAAGAGAGAGAACTCCCCTCGCCGCTTCGACTTAGCCTTGGACACGATAGCTGCGTATTCGGGCTCTTCACATAAGGCGCGGAGAGCGAGCGACCTACCCTTTCTGCACTCCGCTCTGGCTTTCTCAAAGTAATCGGGAAACCCCGTGGTTCGGTGCTCTGAAGAAACTCGTCCCGTATCGCATCATACAGGTGCAGTGCATCAGATGGTGCACCCCGACACCCCTTAAACTCGTATAAAGCCCTTACCCCTTTCCCTCCGACAGGCCCAACGGTGTAAATACCACCATCGGTTTGTAGCGGCGATGATAGTGGTTTGAATTTGCCATCCAGCAAGTGAGCATAACCACCAGCCCCGGGCGATAACCGTGGAGGTTCGTCTTTGGGTAGCGGAGGTGGGGGGAGGTTAATCAGTTATGGTTCCTTGCGCTATGGGTGCGAGCGAACATGATTTTGCTTCCAGCAGTAGCAGGTGGCTTTGGAAAACATTGGCCGTCGACACCGCCGAGACAGGCCGGACATGCGGTGGTCGAAGGGGAGATAGGGGAGGCAAAGACTGGGAGGAGTTACTCAAAATCCTGAGCAGAAAGGATACCGACTGGAATAAACCTCGCTACTCATGTCGCAAGCCTGTATACATAATTTAACGAACTAGTCCAACCGTAATGGTGGCTCAACCAAACAAAGAATATCACAAAACAACCTAGAAATATTACACTTATTGATTGACGGGCGCGAACATGAAAAGACAGAGGCTCAGAACTACGGCATACCAACGTTTGAGTCGCGCCAAGGTCAGAAAGTTTAAGATACGGATAGTGATTGTAGAACAGAAGCACAGGCATCCGATCTGGACCGCTGTGAAACATTACGCCACCCACCCCGATCAAAAAGTTGACGAAAGGACCGGCAAAAACCACAGCTACTTCCCACCAAGCCTGGTCTCGATCATTTCCATCTCGGTCTGCTTTGCAAGCGCGATGTCACCTTTAGTAGCGTTGTAGGGCACGTTCCCAACCTGGTTGAAAGGGTTCTCCTCGCTCTTCTCAAACTCCTTCCGGACTAGCTCCTTCATCTGCCCAAGCCTGAGCCCCTTATACTCCTCACGAACCTCGGGCAATCTGCGTTCCTCATACGCGGCGTACGCAGCTTTATACCGTTTTTCAGGATGCCTGTCGACGGTGCCTTTTTCTGAGCCGGTAGCTAGGGTCAGAGCATCGAGGGCATCGTCGATGTTGCTAGCGTTCAGAGATCCAAAGGCAGGACTGATCCCTCTGGTCCGCTTAACCGGGCCGGTTTTTGTAGCCTGGGGTTTTGATGGAAGCGCTGCTTCCTCCTCAGCTAGCGCTGCAGCCGCAGCGGCCTTTTTGGCGGCCGCATCGCGCTTCTTTGCCTCGGCAGTGTCTCTAGCGGTAGCGGATTAGCAGGGGGTAGTAGAAATGCGCCACCCGACAAACTCACTTTTTGGTATTATCCTTGGCACCCTTCTCCCACTCTTGGGCCGCCAGGGCCGCCTTTCGTGAATTTTCGGCATCGGCCTTCGTAGCCGCTGCCGCCGCCTTCCTCGCGTTTCCGGCGGCCTTTTTGGAATTTTCCACCTGCCTTTTAGGAGACATCTGGCTTGCTCTGGGGTTGGCAATTATGTGCTTCGGAGATGACTTTAGAAGGAGTTCGTATATGTGATGTTGGTGCGGGGATTGCGATGGTGTGTCATACTGGGGGGCGAGGCGGAATGGCGGTATGAGAGGCGATGGGGACGCACGTAGGGATTGATGGGTTAGGGTTAGCCGAGTGTACTCGGATACAAGGGTAAGTGAGGCCCGGCACCTAGAAATGTCTGAAGGTGCGTTTTGCCGCCGCAAGTGGAGAGGACAAAATACAAGGTTGAGTCATTTTGCAATAATCAACCGAGAGTGGTGTTCTCCTGGTATAATACAAACTGCAAGGTTCAAGCTAACAGAATGGGGCTCCAAATCACCGGGTTGGATCAAAAGCTCTGACCTGTTTTTGAAAACCCGCAGCTTACAACCCTTAGCGTAACGTCACCACTCTGCTTACCGTATCAGCATACCGTAAAAACCGAAATAATTGGGTATCAAGCTAAGAGGTGAAAATAAGGTTAGTCACACTAAGGCTGCGTTTGGCTCGCCAGGATTAGACTAGGATTTGGACTTGAAGTCCAGACTTAAAATCCTAAGTCTAGTCTAATCCTGGAAAGTCTGGACTTTAAATTCTAGATTTACAAAACACAACCAGATTTAGATTTAGACTTTAATTAATTAATAATCGATTTTATACCTTATAAAAAATTTGCAATTAGAAATATTATAAGTAAGGAGCTATTTATATTTGAGCTTACATTACTATTTACTTTATCAGGATATTTCTGTATGACAGTTTAATGAACAATTTCTAATATTTTACTTTTACCTTTACCTGTTTCTATATTTTTTCTCTAATTATATTATAATAAACCTTTGTCAATTCATGAAAGTTTAAAACAAATTATAATAGTAGAAGACCAGTGGCAGAAGATTGCTGCTATCAGCAGCCCTCTTGATACTTGAGGAAACAAATAAAAATAGCAGGAAGGTAAAATAGGTCTTGAGAAAAGTTTATAGTTTTGGTGTATATAGAATCTGATTATAAAAATAAAAGAACTGTCATGTCATAGTATGAACTATTTACTGAAGTAGAAAAGATACGCTATATAGAATATGGTTGCTTTAGAGTAAAATTTATATGACACAGCTCTTGAAAGTGCAGACTTTAAATCCTGGTCTAGTACTGAGGTGCAAATCCTAGTCTAATCCTGGTGAGCCAAATACAACTGGACTTAAAGTAAAGGACTACTACCATTCAGGGGAACTGAAATAGAGGTACTAGTAGTCCTGTAGTGGGTGGGGTGAACAGGCATAATAGGCTCAAAAATGGGAAAATTGCTAAGTCTTTTCTGCAGTGGGGCAGTGTAGAGGGTGACAGTGCAGGGATAAAGTGCAGGGGTGGGAGTGGGCAAGTGGCAACCACAGGAAAATCAAAACAACAGGTAGGAACAAAGAAACAAAACTGAACAGAGGATGGGAAAGAAGAGCTACTCAGCTAAAAATTGAACAGGGGGCTCTGCTAGCTAAGAGCAGTAGGCTGTCCAAATTTGGGAGCAGGAGCTCTCAAACTGAGTGAGTTCTGTGTTGAAGGAGGACAATTCAGGGGTAAAAATAGGGGTAAAATCAGGATTTAGTGCCAAGATGGAGATAAAAGGAGGAATAAAGTTCTGAAAATTGGTGAAAAGAGTTAAAGTGAATTATTAAACAGGAATCTCTGTGCAGGGAAAAGAAGGAGTGTTGGTTGTTGAGAAAATTTATGGGGGGGGTCTTGGTTGCTGTGGTTGTTTATTCCACTAGCTACAGGTTATCATCCACAAGGCTGGAGAGAGGCAACTGGAGGGATAATCCGAAAACCTAACAAAGCAAACTACACTACCCTCAAAGCTTATAGACCTGTCTTCCTGCTAAATTGCTTTGGAAAGATTTCAGAAAAGATTATGGCCAACAGACTAGCTTACATTGCAGAAACTAAAGGCCTTCTACACTGAGAGCAAATGGGAGGAAGGAAAGGAAGAAGTGCAGTGGATGCCGTGATGGCAATTGACACATAATATTCAGCAGGCCAAGTTCACTAGTAAAGTACTTCCTGCCCTCTTTGTTGATATTAAAGGTTCATTTGACCATGTTAGTAAAACACAGCTACTCTTGGTGCTGCAGTCTTCAGGATTTCCTCCACCAGTTCTTACCTGGACAGACAGCTTCCTCTCCAACAGGGGACTTAGGTTAGGTTTTGATGGACAAAGACAACCTCTCCTACCAGTCAACACTCGCATTCCCCTAGGCTCTCCCATTTCCCCAATCCTCTTTCCATTCTACTTAACAAACTTCTTCAAAGACTTGGAACCTGAAGTTTTGACACCACAGTGAAGATCCCTCTCCTGTATTGATAATATGGCTTTTATAGTCACAGGCCGCTCTGAGCAGGCTAACTCCAAGGCATTGGAGGTAGTAGCCAGAGTGGCCTGGAGTTGGGCAGCCCATAATGTAATAGTATTTGATGATCCCAAGACAGAACTGATCCATTTTCACAACAAAACAAGAAACTTTACCACCAACTCCACTGTCACTCCTCCTTATGGCACTATTGTCGACCCTTGTCAGCATCTCAGATGCGTAGGAGTTTGGCTTGACAGGAAGCTTTTATTTCACTACAATGTTCAACAGAAGACAGCTGCAGCAACTAGGGCACTTAACATGAGTTCTAGACTATGCAACTCAGAATTGTTGAATTTTCTAATTCGTTTCATATGTATATTCTCCTTGATGATATCGTATATTCCTCTACTTAGTATTATTTCTAGTTCACGAACATTACTACAGCGGAGTATGTATTACGTATATTTCATTGATATTTCATGATACGATTAGGGGATTATGGTGTGCTTTTCTTATCTGGTGTTTGGGTTTATTTCTTACATTTTATGCATCATCATGCACGGTCATCGGTCATTTGATTTACAATTATGTTTTAATTATCCGTTCACACCATCTTAGATTTACGCAAGTTTTATGGGATTTCCTTGGCAGTTCTTTAGGGTCAAACACGTTCGCACTTATGTTTTTCCTACTTATGTTACGGTCAAACACGTCGACACTTATATTTTTCCTTATATTTTCTCTTAGTTACGCGAAGGATGCGCACCTGTATAAATAGGGGTTACCACCCATCTCGCTTAAGAGAATTAAGGACAAGAACTACTACCAATCTACCTTCATACAAAACTCCTCCTCGCTTAGCGCGCCTGCAGTATACACCTTCTACTGTGTTGTATTTTCGTACAAAGTTATTAAGATAGTGCCGTACCGTACACATTTGAATAGGTCATGAGCCTGGTGCTTCTATAACTATACGACTTACACTCACGTGCTTCTGCTCACACAGCAAAAGTTTCACCGTCACCCAACCTTCTTTCATCGAAACAAAACCATGAAACAAAACATTTGCATACGAAACGAAATGAAGATTTCCCAGTAAAATATTTTCCACGAAAAGTCTCAGCAAAAGTCTCAGCAAACGAAAATCTCGGCACGGCAAAAAGTCTCGGCACCAACCCCTATAATAAGGGGTCCCACCGTCCTTTTCCTCCGTCTCCTTCTTTTTCCTCCCAGGCTCACTTGCGCGTCCTCCACATACCCCTTCGCTGCGCTCTTACCTTTTGGAAGTCTCTCACCAAGGACACAGCCACAGGAGATTGGGTTTGGTAGCACTCAGGCTACCTGCGCTCTACAAGGCTTCCATTAGGAAAAAGTGCTGGCGAATTTAGGGGGTGTGTGGTTTGTAACCTTGATCGTATAATTTTTACTTAGAATTTTCAACTCTGGCTGAAGGATCAGCCCACGGGGGCCTCCCTCATCCCCCATTTCCACCACACGACAACCTCTCTGAAGAAGAACTCGAGCAATCCGAAGGAGAACCAGAGCAACCTGAGGATCAACCACCTCCTCCTCCGGTCCCTCCTTATCCCCAACTACCTCCGGTACCTCCAACTCCTCCTCCACTACCACCTGCGCCGCCACCAGGTGCACCGCCTCCACCTCCACCAATGGATCCTGCAGGCCCTGCAAACCCGCCGCCACCCAATCCTGCCAACAATAAGCGACCCTGGGCACCTTCCTACAAACTCAGCTCTATCCCAAAGCTCACGGGCCTAGAAAACTACAGAACCTGGCGTGATATCTAGGAATATGTTCTCACTTTATTTAATTGTTGGGACATAGTAACAGGAATAGAAACAATACCGGATGAGGACGATACGGAGAGCGACCCTCGAGAACAGTTCCAAGATTGTTACCAGTGGGCCTCGGCCTACTTCCTCGAAACGATCGATCCAAAATGGCTTGTTTTGTTAGCCACCCACAAAACACCAACCGCCATCTGGACAGCCTTCGAAGATAAATTTGCTCGTGAAAATACTTCCACCTTCTTTGACCAGCTCAATGCGGTCCTCGATTCCAAGTACGATACGTCTGAACCTATGCCGGACCACATCAACAAGTACGATACCCTATAGAATCGCATGCAACATCGTTGCTCCTCTGCTTCGGAAACCGACTGATACGCTCTACCATTTGTTTTCAAATCGGTATTTGAGTCAACCGAAGCCAAAGCCACCGTTCTCCTCCGTTCCCTGCCTCAGTTGATGAGCAACATCATCGACAACCTCCAAACCAAGGAAGACCTTACCTACAATCATGTCTACAACAAACTGTTAGACTTGAAATCCTCGGTTAATTCTGAGGACGATAAGGCGTATAAAAGCGCTGATGTCAAAGGAAAGGGAAAGGCTCCCGATACGGTCCCCCGGCAACCGGCCGAAACGAAGGAATGCTCCTACTGCAAAAAGCACTACCACTCTGCTTGCAGTGAAGGCCACTCCTGGAATGAGTGTAACAAGCTCAAGGCCGACAAGGAGAAGCGAAAGAAGGACAGAGCCGGACACTCTGCTAAGATCGGAAAGGAAGAGACATCCAAACCGGTCAGTACCTCTACCTCCTCACCTCCTACACAAAAGACCCCTTACCCAAATCAATGGGTTATCGATACAGGCGCAAGCTCACACATGACTTCGAACCTAGACCTTCTTATAAACTTCGAACCTTCAGAAGGTACCGTTAAGTTAGGCGATGATTCGGTAATAGAATCATGTGGCCGTGGAACAGTGGAGCTTAAGGCCAAAACATCTGATGGCCGGACAGACTCTGTCTTTCTACAACCAGTTCTTTGGGTTCCTAAGT